CATGTGATCAAATGGTGTGAGTGGTCACTTGTAAAATGAAAGATTCTCTCACAATGGAATTAAACTATGTAAAACGAGAGAATTAAGTCTGATCAGCATTTCTCTACTATATTCTTAAGTATACGCCAAAAAAAAAAAAAAAAAAAAAACCTGGTAAATTAAGTTCAGAAAAACATATACCATGTAACACTCCCCCAACAGATTCCTAATGCATTCAGCATATCAAAGTTTCCAAAGCGCTGCTATAAAGAAACCTCTGTCATTTCCCAAACTTGTTTTCTGACATGACGCCTATGAAGAGCTGCAGAATATGCTTTGGGAAATGATGATCTCTACATCCGTCTCAGCGTTCAAATCTATTGCTGATGGCATTTTAGAGCCTCCATCATTTCCCTCTTTGCCTCTGTGTTTGGCTGTTCCATGAATCTTTGGTTGAGCACAGAATATCACTCCCTCACGTGACTTCCCACTACCCTTTATTGCTATTGAAACCGTTATGTGAAACTGTAACGTGTGATTTGACTCATGGCAACTCCCTGTGTGAAGAGCAGATACGCTCCAAGGTTTCAGGGCTGTGACCTTTTGGAAGTAGATTGCCAGCCCTATTCTCTGAAGTGACTCTGGGTGGCTTTCAACTGCCAACCTTCCAACAAGTAGTTGAGTGCTTAACTGTTGGCACCACTCCAAAATCCATGCAAACCCTACAGTTTTAGGATTTTTTTTTTGAGAATTATCACAAGCATCCACTGAAGGCTGACCCTGGCTGTGACGTCAGTTACGGCTCGTGAGGGGCTGCTGAGTGGGCGCTGACTCACGGCGACCTCACGCACAGAGGACTCCCGCTGCCCGGGCCACCCTCACAGCCGCTGCTGTTGGAGCGCACCGTGTGATCACTGCGTCAGTGTGCCTCCCTGAAGGTCGTCTTTTTGCTGACCCTCTACACGGACAAGCCTGGTTCTTCTCCAGGAGTTGGTCCCTCCCGATAACATGGTCAAAGAACGTGAGATGAAGTCTCACCAAGTGAACTTCTGAGATAAAGTTCTATATATCCTGCCATGCCGTACACTGCTCTAGGCTCAAGACTATCAGCATTTCCTTGACAACTTCCTTTCCCCCTGACTAACCCAAAAGGAGAACACAGAGAGACAGCTTGGGTTGTACTGGCTTCCTAGACCCAACACAGATCTAGAAGAGGTGAACACTCAGCAGGGATGCTTCCTACCAAATTTGCTGAAAAAACAGCCAAAGTTGTTTTTTTAATGTATTCTAAAATGTTAGGAAACTCTTCATATTGCCCATACCTAACCATAAAATATTTCATGTACATGTTACAAATTCAGCCAGAGAACCATCAGGTTTCTACTCACAAAGGCATTAGTAATAACAGGACTACTGACTGTAGAAGGCCTGAAGGCCCATGAATGACAGCAGAATCAGGGTAAGAGGTGGAAAACTTTAGAGTAATCACAGAAACCAACTAACACTCAGACAGCTTAGTCAAATTCTAGTTTCCTTTTCCAGTATATAATAACTACATCTTCTTTTTAGCTGTCTTGACTCTGGCTTTATTATCTTCTTTAGTCCCATTTCTAACAACAAAAAATTATTCAAAAACAATTCTAACACATAAACTCAAATTAGTTTTCTCAATTGCCAAAGTGCCTTGTTCATTAATAGCTAAGACAGAAATACTAACCAACCTAATTAATCCAAAAGAAATGAACCTAATTAAAAAGAGTTAAGTCATGCCTTGTTTCACATCCCTGATACATTCCATGAAACAGGACTTTGTGATTTGGACGTTGTGTGAACACCAGTATTATTTACAGGCAGTCCCCAGATTACAAAAACGAGTTCTGTTCCTAAATCTGTCTTTACGTCTAATTTGTATGTAAGTCAGAAGAAGAGTTAGGTATGGTTTTTATCTAACTTCAAAGATTTGGTTTAGTATACAGTGTACATTTTTATGTATAAGAAACATTAAAGAAACACTTCCAGATACATTAAAAGATCTTTAACATAATAATACAGTAACAATAACAACATTCTGATGCACGCTGTGAAGCAGCGCCTGTTATCACGAACCACCGTATGTACGCTGACTTTTTAATATAATAGGCTTTACAGGGGTTGGGACCATAGACGTACACATGGTTGGACAGATGCCTGAACAGACGTTATGCAGCATAGGCCTAATTTTCTTTTTCAATGGTAGACCTTACAGTAAAGATCTGTTGGTTTGGTCTGATTCCACTTCAGGGGGTTCAGGTGCTATACCTATCACTGCAATCAATGAACTAGCTTTGACACCACACAGATGACTTCTTTTCCTTCGGTCTACACTGCAGGAAATGCACAGCTGGGGTAGGGGTGATGAGATGCCTTCTAGATTAGGATACTTCAGCGCCATGAGGAAACAACAGAAAGACCGAGTATTTATGTTTACATGTCACTGCCTGAGGGGATCTATAAAACTTATTGAGCATATGAAAATACTATTGGAAATAAAGTAATAAAATAACAAAAGGCCTTTAAAAACAAATAAACAAAAAACTAAACCCATTGCCAAACAGTCAATTCTGACCCAGCGACCTGACACATGATTTCCAAGGCTGTAATCTTTACGGAAGCAGACTGTCACATCTTTGTCCCACAAAGCAGCTGATGGGTTCAACAGCTGGTGGGTTTGAACCACTAACTTTTCAGTTAGCACCTGAGTGCTTAACCCTGTGCCACCAGGGCTCAAAAAAAGGCCTTAGCAAAGTCTAAGTTTAAAGTGAAAAATAAGGCAGGATTTAACCCAAAGACATTTTCCTTATTTAACCTTCGATAACTCTTGGGAACCTAACTGGCTTAAAACTGAAGGATCTGATCAGTACTCAGGAGAATCATCATAACATGTACACAAATTAGAGAATAAAATTTTAATGGTATAAAAAAATAGAACTTGTGGCCAATTTAGTACTGCTGGAATAAATCTGCAAAATGTTATTCAATAAAGGACTAAGTTGCTAAATGAAGCCAGAGTTACACATATTATGTATATTACTTGAGTACATACAAGTACATCTCATAACATGCAGAGACATGGACACAAGGAGCACTATAAAATCAACGCCATCTTCTCTACTGATGAAATAATACATTGAAAACAAAAACCTGGAAGCCCAGAGGATCTCATTCTGAAAATGAGATTTGGATGATGGCCTTTCCAAGAATTCAACTAAACGGAAAGATTAAATTTGACTTTGTTTTCTCAATGAAAAAAAAGGAAACAAGGTACATTCCTATGGCTCTGAGAACCTACTTTTCTCTTTATTCAATGACATCATCAAATTGAAAGGTGCGACAGACTTTCTCTCTTCTCACATTCCAGTGGTTAAGGATGAGTCCCGTAAAGCTTTTAGGCATTTGAGTGTCATACCACCCACAGCAACATATGCTTAAGTACCTTTAGTGATTCAGTCACATGACATGAGTTTAATTTTCCTGAGAACTAAATTAGACCCACAAAATAAACAGGCTATGAAAATGACCTGAGTTCATAGGAATCTCTAAATTTGAAATCAAGATTCTTCAGCTTTGCTAAGATCTCATTAAAAGCCTTTTATAGCAAGGGTTTCTTGGTGAGTCACATACTTGGTTGTGGAGGCTTAGTACTTTTTTAAACACTAAAAAGAAGTATTTTATTTTGTGCAAATTCAGTTAAAGGCCAAAACAGACAAAGGTACTGATGGTGCAGAGTAAAACCTATAGTAAGCACAGACTCCTTTCTCATAAAGAAAGGAGTAGGTGAGATGTGCAACTGATCAACTTTGCTCCCAGTTTGACGATTATTGGAAAACTAAGAAAATCCTTGCAAGATAAGCAAAGACAGCACCTTAAGTGGAACCTAATGGGAGCCCCTCAGAAGTGAGGGTTGGTTGTGGCAGAGATGGCTACTAATCCCCTCTAAGTATTTCTTTTGTGTCTGATAGCCCAAGAATGTATAGTGTGGTAAAATATTGGCTTCATAGCCATTACACCAAGCTGTGGATTGCAACTTCTATTATTATTATTATTTGCAAACTACTTAGAGGTCACATGTAAATTATTAGTCACTGAACAACATACAAAAGACTATGGTTTGACATCAATCTGCGCTCTTCTGATTTGCTATATAACCTAATTCAAGGCACTTTAAATGTTTGGTGCCTTAGTTTATTAACATGTAACATGAGAATAACACTCATTTACCTACCTCCCGGAGCTACTATATAGATTACTGAATGTATACTTTTTAAAGCACTTTGAGCTCCTCAGATGAAAAGCACTGTGGAAACAATTACAGCTGAAGAAAACCCCTCCAGTGCCTTAGAACCCTGATCTATTATTGTGCCTTACGTCTTGATCATGTTTCCCTAAACATTTTAAAAATGAAATTTGTTAGTGGCACTCCATCTCTTCCTTTATGTTGTTTGGCACACAAGTATTTATACGTTTGAAATAATATCATACTCCATACTCTAAAGAAGTTTACTCCTTTTTAAATAAAGTTAATGAAATATACCTATTACGGAGTATTCTATATCAAGTTTAGCAAATTTTAGCTTTCTCTGAGGTACATGTGACATAGAAAAGTTAATTTTTTTTTCCAAAATAACTCAACTAATGTTATTTATGTGAAACCACAAGTTTTTAATGGAGAAAAAAAAAATACCGAGAGTATGCCACAGTGTCTATATATTCATCTGAAGAGTACAAAGATGGAGTTCTGAGAAAAAAGGCTCTTAACACCATAGAAAATAAATGTGGTTCTTAAATTATGTTCAAAGGAAACAGTAAAAAATAGGTAATGTTTCATACACTGAAATAAACGTTAGAGGTAATAAATTATAAATACAGTAGTTCAAATATTGTTTCTTTTTTAGCATTAGTTTTTCTAAAGTTAAATTAAAAACATTTTCAATCTGTTATACTGCCCTTTCAATGAAATAGTGGAAATGGAGGCCTTCTTTACACTGGACCCTGACTATTTCAGTTTGATAACATTTTGGTTAATACATGAGCTCCAATCTATTGGGCTATTTTTCTATTTGGAAGAAATGAGATCGTGATCTATACCCTTTCCATGCAGTTCACCCCAACTTTCCTTACTTCCAGGTCTGGCTTCATGCTCGCAGAGGTTCTGTTAGATTCACGATCAAAATGATTAAGACCATAAATAACTCCCTTACGCCTGAAAAAAATTTTTTTCTTTAAATAAAATAAGGTGCTTTTAAGTTCAAATATTTCTTGCCCTAAACAAGACTGAAACATACTTAAACCTGAAATCTCCATGTCTTCACATACACATTTTAACAGGAAAAAAAAAAAAAAAAAATCAATTTGGGACCATTAATGTCCTTGAAGAGTTCAGATTGGCTCTAAATGGGGCTTTGCATCATTATCGTGCTCATGTTTGTACATGAAGGTTAAAAGAAAGAGGGCAACATCCAAGGATGACCAATAGGCAGTGTGCGATGTGACAGCTGACCAATAGCGGCTCTCCACAAGGCCTTCTCTGAGTTCAAAATCAATCCTGTGATCCAGTTCCACTAAAAAGAAAAGAAGTTAAACAAATGAATAAAGATTCTAATAAGATACGATCTACGTAGATCTACTAGAGAGTAAAAATGTAGGTAGCAGAAGTGATTCTCCTAATTGTCTTTTTTAAAAAACTAACTTTCTACCCTTACACCCTATAGGAAAAAACATTCAAAAGAGCCTCAATAGCTCAGGATTCTCTTTGGTGAAGTCTTTTCCTTTGTATGCTTAGGTCAATATGGTTCGTTGGGATTATACAGGAGACACATAAATTAATTTGCCTGCCATGTGGTATCACTAAGTATATTTAGAGTCAAAAGACAAGGCTTAAATCCTGGCTTTGTCATTTGTAATTGTTGTGCCTTATCTGTAAAACAGAGAAAACACCTCTCAAGGGCTGGGGCAGTGACACTGTGGGAGTGCAACAGATTACACCCAACTGCTCCTTAATCAGTGAGTTTCTGCGGGTGAAAATGGTCAATGGCCTCAAGGCTGGAGGTGCAAGCCCACCCAGGTGCATCTCAGAAGAAAGGCCTGGAGATCTGTCTGAGAAATCAGCCACTGGAAACCCCACAGAACAGATTTCTACCCTGACATCAGGGACTGCCATGAGCTGGAGGTGACGTGAAGACAACTGGCTTTGTATAGCAACTGGCTCTGTAGGGGTATGTTAGAAGATAACCATCCTTTTATAGTTACAGAATGTTTTCTTAAATTCCTCAAAGGCAGCCACAACTCACTGTAGGCTCTATTCCATTAGCAGTGCCAAGCATTGTGCTTGGAACATGCAAGTGCTCATTAAATGTCTGTTTAATTAAAGGAGAATCTACTGGGCAGCTGGGGAAGTTAAACTGGGAGAAAGAGTGGTGAATCGTGGAAGAAAAGACTTTGATTATAACACTGATGTCCTCAAACAATTCAGTGAATTCAACTATTTTTTCTAAAATTCAGAAAGCCCTTGCAATCTCTATTAGGAAAGATTACTTTAGCAAAATCAAAGCTATAAGAGAATCTCAATGGTTTTATTTAATAAATCCTTAGAGATAAATACTTAGAAACCAATCATTTGATCTTCAGGAAAGCCTTTTAAACTGTCAATGGGCTATATATAGAATTTTTGAAAGGTCCACCTTAAAAACAAAACTGAACAAAAACCCTGAAACCATTACCACTCAGACACTTTCAAGTCTGCTCTTTGTTCAGACTACCAAAGATGTTAAAAGTAAAAGCTGGCAAAATTAAGAAGGGAGTTGGGGAAAAGTTGGGTTTTGCTTCACACTGGGAATTTGGTAATCACACATGAGGCAATGATAATACACTCCAGGGAATGACAGCATGTTCAGCTACATGCTCGTTAAACAGATATTTTGTGAAAATGCCATTTGGTCATTTAAAAGTGCTTATACAGTTGTTATTTTTCTTTTCAGTTATGCCTTCTGAGAAGGAATATCCATGGATTTATTCATACATTTTCAGAGAAGGTTTACACTTAAGAGGTATAAATATCAATATATTAAGATAGGCTATTACCAAAATTTAACTGTATTTTTTTTCTCATTTAAATTACAATGAACTAATCCCTAACAGGTCAAAAAGCTTAAATCATGTGGCCCTGTGGGTAACGTCCTGTCTTTTATCTGCTGCATGCTGTACATCTGGGTTAACGATCTGCAGGTATATTCTGGCACAACTGACAGGAAGATGAAAAAGGAAGAGGACACTGGAACTCTCAAGCACGACGAAGAAGAGTCAAGATGAAGTTAGTTACAAAGGAAAAAAAGAAGTACCAGGAAGAAAAACAGAGGAGATGAGAAACATGCACTCATAGTGGTAAAGACCACCAAGCTATAGTTTCTAAGAGTTCACTTTCAAATGCCTCTGCATAATGTCCTTGTCCAACAATCTCGGGTTGAATTATTGCTTTAAAGCCAAAGAGAAAACGATTTTTTCCTGTTACAATAAGTGGTATTTAGCTCCACTTTGATTTTTATGTCCCTGAAATTTATTCTTAATATGTTAGTACTGTGATACAAAGCCTACCCTCATATACAAATAACTCACAATGTTAAAATTTAAATATTGTCCTATTATATTTTGTGCCTCTGTCATTCTTTAAACCTACAGGGACTTTAATGAATGATATTAACTAGACTGGCTCTCCCATTCCTTTCTATATGCAGGTAGTCCCCATGAAAATGCGAATTAGGTAACCAGCACACACCCGATAAACATGTTTTAGTGTTATCATCCTCCTTAAAAGTTTGCTCTAGGCAGTCTGGCTGCCAGTTTGGATGACCTTGCATTATGTTGGTTTTGCCGGTAGATAGATGGTACTGGGTGTGCCAATGTCCCATCTTCTCCCTCCCTTTCATGAACATCACAGAATTCCCAAAGGAGTGAGGTTCTACATGGGCTGTGTGTTCTCTATTGGCTGTGAGAGCTGCTCTTGGCTAAAAGAAGATCTAAACCTACAGGGAGATGCCTTGGACCTACTTCCTCATTATTACTATTTTGAGAGAATGGGTGACACCATATAGGCTGGTAGTTTTTTTTTTTTTCCTCTCTCAGTTAAGTTGGGTCAAAGAGAAAAGAGAATATAGAATCATCACTTTTTCTTCTCTCTTAAGTAGCTAAGTACTAGAATTACTCTATCCATTAAGAAAAGAATGAAGTTTGTGCACAGTTGAAGATAAATGAAAATGAGAAGATGATGACTGGCTTTTAATAATGACCAGGAATTTGTTTATGCTGTTTTAAAACATTATTATTTTTTTCTTTTTTGGACGGTGATGCATAGAAGCATATTGTTCCCATCTCCCAAAGTTGAATGTCCACAATCTATATGCTATGAGTGTAAATTCCTTTCCTCAGAGAATACTCCTGGGCACAAGCCTCAGGAACATGGACATGGCATTAAAGAATAATTAACACGTATAACAGAAAACAAGCATCTCTGTATTTTAATGTGTACTAATTGGTCAGGTTTTTGAATACAAAGAACATAATGGCAGTATTTTGACTTCCCTCTTGAAAAAAAATTTTTAAAAATATTTGTAAGTAATAATTATCGTCAATTGTACGATTTTTGGCTCCAAGTAGACATCAAGAAAAATACTTAAAAGTACTAGCAGAGGATACTCTGAATATGCTTCTAAACAATTAGTAAGAGTCACTCATAGTCAGAAAGATTATATTCAGAGGTCTTGGCAAGTTATACGTTGTTATTTTTGTGCTGCCTCAGAGCAACTATACATTTTATGTGGCTAACCAAAAAACCAAACTCACTGCCACTGAGTTGATTCTGACTCACAGTGACCCCCATCGGATTTCCGAGGCAGTAACTCTTTTATGGAAGTAGATTGCCCCATCTTCCTTCCGCGGACTGGCTGGTGGGTTTGAACTGCCACTACCAGAGTTCCTTTTATGTGGGTAAGTGTTTGATATTCAAGGAATATTTGTTTTATGAATTATCATAGTTCCAAATATATTTAAGAATATTCTCTTCCAACCAGGCTTTACTTTAAAAAAGATAACAACAAAAACTCTAAAATGAGTTTTACAATCAATTGTCAGAGCTGCCAAAAAACATTTTCAAACACCCAATTGCCCTGAAGACATTCAAAATGGCTAACATTTGACAAAAGATACGCTATGAGGGAAAATATGGGCTCTATAGCTAAACCTTCAGTACAAAAAAAATTCAAGAGATGGCCAGATTTGTCGGGCTCTCCACCACCTGCTTTCACAAACTCTGCCGATCTTATTCAGAACTACCCCCTTCTGAGGTGCAGGACCAGGCAGTGTTTCGTTCCATTGTACGCAGGGTCACGATGAGTCAGAGTCGACTGGACAGAACCTAACTACAACTCCCTTCCACTTCCCCTTGGTTCTTCTCAAGAAAATTAACTCAGGGGTCTCCACATACTACATGTGCCCCACCTCTATGCTTTTGCTCAGGCTGTTTCTTCTCCCTGCAATGTCTTTTTGTTTCTGCCTGTCCAAATTCCACTTCTTCCACACAGCCTTTTTGGATTTCTCCAGCGGCAAACAATTTCTCCCTCCTCAGAACTGAGTCCTTTATCTGTACGGCTCTTCAGTAGCTTATCACATTCTGTCATATGTTCTAATTATTTATGTAACAATAGAAAATACACCCTCTAGAAAATACTTATTTTACTACCAGTATTTAATATCTTTATGGGCAATATTAAAGTCAGTTTCATCTTGGTAGTCCTTTCTAGGGACTAGCATTCTATCTTGCTCATGGTAAACATTTAATAATTGTGGAACAAATGAAAAGAGGGGAAGAGAAAAGTAGAATTCATGTGCATATTACCACGTGAATCACTTTGGTGGAGTTATGATTAGAGGTCAAACTGCTTAGGTAGTTGGGATGCTTTGCCATGGTGAAGGTAAGGGCACTTGCTACTTGACTGCAGGACTAATGTATCAGTGGATACATTTTCCTTTTCCCTATTGAGAATGCAAACAGCACAAAATCAAATGATTTATTTATGGAAGTGACTGCTATTACATGGGCAGGGACCAGAGAGAGCAATGATATAAGGTCATTCCTGGAGGGGAATTCAGTGAGTTAGAGCAATACAAACTGTTGCTATGGAGCCAAAAACAAAAAAAACCCCAAAAAACAAAACACAGTCCAGCTTGTTTTACTAAACTATTGTTTTGGTATGTGCATGTCCAGTATTGTAAGAGAATTTTTTTGAAAATAGAAAAAAATTTATGAAAACTAACAATCAACTAAAGAAATTGGAAAATTAAGATGGTTAAAACATCCAAAGAAAAATCTATATCATGGTTTTTGTCAAAGCCAAAATTCAGTATTTAAGGGAAAAAAAAGGAAACAGAGAAGAGTGTGAAAAAAGGAATGAGAAGTTAGTGGTAAAAATAATTTTAAATTGCTAAGATTTATCCTTGGTGATACACTTAGCATTTACTTAGAATCTGCTGAAAATTAAGAGTGAAAATATATTTTGCATCCAATAATGCAATTCTAAAAAAACTGAATGTACCTTTGAGGTACATCAGTATTTGAATAATTGAGTTGGAATCAGGTATCAGCTGTGGCATACCTAAAATCCTAAGTAGTAATGATAATGCTACCTGAAATAACTAGGAATGATGAACGTCCTTCTGCTATGCAACCCTTTTATCTCTAAGTGTATTACATGAAAAGAATAGTGAACATTTTTGAAGACTTCAGGAAAAAAGAGAAGAAAGAAAATGGCCTAATACTCTTCTCCCCTCCTAAAGGTTTCTTGTGGGAGAGTATGGGACTATAACATATGTTTGCATATTAAGTGGGTAATCAATAATCAGGTTTCAGGATCACTACCATTAAAGATTAGAATATACATATAAAATAGTCTGTTATGGTTAACATCCAAGCTGATCACATAGAACAATTGATCCAATTTTTCAATGAGCAGAACTTTTAAGTAGGTCATTTTCATAGTAATCTGAATGCTATTCCTGACATATACCATACCGAGGCTATTATCTTTATTCTGCATTACATTTTCCGGAAAAAGAAGTTGTGGGAGATTAAAGAACGATTCCTGAAGTCTGAAATCTGTGAAAAAAAAAACACAAGACGCTGTAAAGGGCTGGCTGATGGTTAAAAATGGCCTTCAATGATGCAGTGGCCAAAAGTTAGAACAATACTCCCAAGTAAGCTGATTAAACCTAGTATACATAAAGATGCCCAACCTTTGGTTTTTATGAAGAGCTCTTTCATGGAAAATGTAAGCATCATTAACTTTGAAATATAATGTATAATCTGTAAACATCCAGACATTCCTAAAATTTATAATCATTTATGTTCTAACGTAGAGGCCAAACAACACTAAAAGGAATAGATCTTTTCTTTTCATAATATGTTACAAACACAGGAGGGCACAAAAAATGATTAAAACCACAGAAAACAACTTTGCTAAACTTTTCAAAAGAAATGAAGAACACCATATAAGCTTCAATTCAATGACAATAAAGTAGGTTTCAACTGACAACACTTACTCTTCAAAGAAAGAAACCCTGATTGATCATGAAAATTCAGTCTCGGTCCATCTTACCCTCAAGTATCGAGAGAATCAAAGTTGTAGCTTCAGAAAAAGTGAAGAACTGAAGCAATCAGTGTGAGTACAAGGGAGAAAGACAAGAAAGGAAACCAAAGTTACTTAATCACAACGACCAAATTCTAGAAAGAAGATTTAAGAAAGAGAGTTCTTGTGATCTGCCTGATACAGCCAAAACAGCAATTATGACATAAGATATTTACTTAAATCAGAATTACATAGAAGGGCATACTATTGAAGCAAGTCAAAGAATTAGTAAGGCAAGTTGAGGGATTTGATTTAAAAGGCAGAATTGGACTGGAGTAGTAGTCTAATTTTAATAGTTACGTCTACATCTAAAGTCAGATATATGTAACTAAGACAGGATTAGCTCATATTTAGTTCAATATACAGCTGACAAGGAATTTACTGATGGTAAATTCAGGAAAAAATGTATATGGAAGAATGACAGAGAATGTACTTTGTTAAACTATAAAAATATAATGATGTAATATAGCCAAGTGCCATTATAGACTAGTGTAATCAAAGAAGAAACTGGAGGTTTCTGTATTATTATTTTGAAATTACTACGGTAAATAGCCAAAATTAGCTGTTTTTCCCCCTCATATCACGTAGATTTTATATAACGTCTTCTCCATCCTTTTTGCGGGGCTCCACTCCTAGTCTGCTCTCCTTACTACTTCATTTACCCCAACGTTTATCAGCAACACTGTTATACATCCACATCATTTAAAGGAATTCCAACTTTTACTGATTGTCTTACAAAATTCTTTGAAACTAATCTTCCCCAGAAGTTTAGAGTTTTCTTTTGACTTCTGCATGTCACAACAAAATTTTCACAATCATATTTTCATGGTAAGTAGAAATGAAAGCTTAGGTCAGTGATCCCATAGGAACTAAAATGGGATTTTTTTTTTTAAACATTATATCAAAGTCTAAAGAGAAATTTTCTACACAGTGTTCAAAATATTTAAAATAATAATTTTAGTACTGAATCTGACATATAAAGGATTATGTTAAAAATGCTTTTGGCCCAAACAGGAATTCCAACCCAACCAATGATTCATGCTAGAGTGAGGATGACTGTGGAGGAAAGATCCAGCCTCTAAGACTATCATACCTGAACTATTCTAACTTACTTCCTTTTAAAGCAAGTTTAATGGATGGTAGTGGATGCTGGCCATTTTCAAACTTAGAGTAGTTGGCACAGTAAGAAAACAAAGACAGAAGTATCTGAAATTTGTTCTAAAAATTTTTAGAGAATGAGCTAAGTTTCCCTCTTGCTATAGTTACAGAAAGTTAGTGCCTAGCTTCAGAATCTGTATTTCCTTATTATAAGTCAATGGAAAAACAGAACTTTGTTTATTAATCTTATCTTACTGGGCACTTAGTAATAATGGTTAAGTTTAGATCCTTGACAGTAAATATACATATATACATATACGTGTGTGTGTGAGCGTGCACACACACACACACACACACAAAGTGTATTAGTGATTCACAACTATTCCAGATTTTAAACTTTGAAAGTCTACTTGAAAAAGGTCTATTTTAATGCTAAGTTCAATGTAACTACAAAGACTTCAAATCCTATCCATTCAATGATAAACATTACTTGAGTAATGACTTAAGGTAGTGGGGATAAGTTTGAAAGCCATACAGTGAATTAAAAAAAAAAAAGTGTAAGCTTTCAAGGTCTTACAGTTAGGCTGGATGAAGGAAACTGTGGAATTAGGAGTACAATGGCTTTGGCAGAAGCCAGAAAGATTTTTTTAAAAGCCTAAGGACTAGATATAGCATAGATTTCAAGCAACTGTAGCTATAAGAATTTTTAAGACTGAGAAGACCATACTTTTTAAAAAAAGCTACTTTGTAAAAATGAGATGGGTGCTTATGCAAAAGAGATTTGCTTTATTAACACCCCTGTGCTACAAGGTCCTGATTATTAACGTTCGTAACTATTAATTCACTAAGGCAGAGAGTCAAACTGAATTTCCCTAGAAATTATTCTTAAAAATGTAAACAGACTTTTTTTTTTTTTTTTTAAAGGTTAATATATGCTTTAGATTTTGGAGGTGACTGCTAGGATTAAGATCTCAACTCTATCTGACCTCCTCAAGTTTTAGAAAGATAAAGTATAAACTTAAGGAAAGAACAGGGTAAACTAACATGCAGAATCAAGAAAGCCAGAGCTGCTGTGTGGAAGGGTCTGGGTTGCCACTGTGGTGGTAGGAGGTGAGGCAACTGGCTTCTTCTCGTCTTCCATTGAGTCTTTTGATGTCTCAGATGGCTGTGTAGATGAACGTCCAAATCTCGAGAACAACATTCCTCCAAGTCCCTTTCCAATGCTAGCAGCCCCTGTATTTAACAAAATAGGAGAGTCATTCTGTTGAATTACACCACATACTAAGCTAAAAAGCACCACCCATAATTACAGCCAACTGGCAGAGGGACTAAGCTCTAGTCATGTTTTTCCAGGGTGGGAACATAAACCTTAAGAAAAAGACAGTTTGTATTGTAAGTTTCTAAACAGAAAATGGTGTCAAACAGAATGAAAGTTGTACAAACTCTAGGGATATAGTTTATAAAGAAAGGAATAAAGCTTCTGTATTATTCAAGTGATCACTATTTATTAAAATACTTAGCAAGACTAAAATCTTTAACAAAGGAACCATGCCACTGACATAGGCATGTATTTATTACATGGAAGTTAAGTGGACATGTTACAAAAAGCCATCATTATTGATCTATATGACAAAGTGAAATAGCAAATAAATCCACCTTATAAAGCCAATTTACAGTGCCATCTTGTGGCATTTTATATTAAAGCAACTCGTAACCAAAAGCAATGGACAAACTTAAGCAGCACATAACTGAGATCCAGTGATACACCAAACATTGTGCTAGTAATGAGGTTCATTCAGAAGAAAGCAAACATCCCTGCTGCCCTCAGGAAGCACACAGTTTCAGAGATTTTTGAGAACATCAGAGAACTCACTTGGGGGTGGTGGTGTGGCCTCAGAACTCAAGTACTTGCCTATCTTACAGATGAGGAAGTAGAACATTAAACTAACACATGGTTTTCCCAAGATCTCAAAATAAGCAGTAGCCAAGATTAAAATGAGGACTTGACTCTGAGACCAATGCTTTTTCTTGTCCATCCAGCTATCTCATATTCTGAAACTACAGGATCTGATCTAATCAGAGTGCTAAGGCTTTCAGCCTTCAAATATCTACAGTGAGAGGGCAGCTGACTCTAGGCACACGGGTTATCCATTAGAAGTCAGAGTATTCCAAAGTCTCCAGAATTTAATGTCTGTACAAAAAGTGCCTATATTCAAAGACAAAGGATATTAAGAGAAATTACCTAATATGCTCGCTTTCCCTATATTTGTTATAGATTCCCCGTAGTGTCGGCGGGACAAGACTGGTGAAGTCACTGGGCTGGGTATGCTTGGAACACCTTCATTCTCTGAAACTGAGGTAGGTTCTTTTGCTGGGTTGAGAAAACTTGGCTTCATATACTCATATGGCAGAGGATTTGAAGTATTATACCAGTGGATCTGGACAGGTGAAATGTTACTGTAGTGTTTCAGTATTAATGGTTCTAACCTATAAGCCTTGATAAAAAAAAAAAAAAAAAATCAAAGAAACACAACATTAACGCACAATGCTTGGATATTAGTAAACTGTTCTTATTCTATTGCATACTAAACAGACCTGAGAGGAGGAATTGATGAAATGGGTATTTCAAACATAAATTCCTATTTGTTTACTGTTAGCAATATGTGGTTAACCTAATTACATATTCTTAATGATGATATTAAAAGAAAAAAGAAGTCTGGGATAATGTTGTATACCATCAATTCTGACTTACCGCACCCCTTTACAGTATACAGCAACCCCAGAGTAGCACCGCCCCATAGGAATTCCTAGGCTGAAATCTTTATGGCAACAGATGGCCAGACCTTTTCTCCCATGAGCGGCTAGTGGGCTCACATCTCTGACCTTTCAGTTAACAGCTGAGTGCTTTAACCAATGTGCCACCCAAGCATCCTTCTAGGATAATCCCAAAAACCAAACGTACTCCATTGCTGTCAGGTAGTTTCAGACTCAGAATGACCCTATCGGACAAAGCAGAACTGCCTTATTACGATTCCAAGGTTATAATCCTTGGAAGAAGATGCCACATCTTTCTTCCTTGGAGGAGCCAGTGGGTTTGAACTGCCAATCATTTGGTTAGAAGCCAAGCACAAACTGTCTGTGCCACCCAGGGATATTAAGAGCTCTAATTAAACTCTATTCAGTCCATGAAGAATTTTCAAGTAGCACAAATTAGAGTCTGAGACAAGACAATTTGCCTAATGTGAAGCAGGGATGATGTAGAAGAAAAAAGGCAAGGGACTTGGTTGGTGTCAGAATTTGTTAGTTCATATTCTAGTTCTATTACTTATTTAACTACATGATGCTTATCAGGTTACAAGGTTTCACAGTCTTATTTTCCTGATCTATAGAAGGAGCTCTGGTAGCATAATGTGTAAGGCACTTGACTGCTAACCAGAAGGCTGGCGGTTCAAACCCACCAGCCACTCCTCGGAAGGAAGGTTGGGCAATCCTACTTCCATACTGATACTGCCTCGGAAACCCAAGGAGGGGTCGCTATGAGTCGGGGCCGACTCGACGGCAAATAACAACAACAACAACATAGAAGGAGGATAAGACTTTCTACTTTATAGTAATACTGGGAAGAACAGTTAACATCTGTAAAAACTGCTTATCAAACTTCTGATGCAAAATATTAAAAAAAAGCAACTATAAAATGGATGGGAATAATTTATAATAATAAAAAAAAATGATTTGAGAACCCTCTTGATATATATATAGCAAAGTTTAAGATATGGAAAGGACAGAGAATTCACGACAAGTTCAGAGTGCACTCATGTCCCTCTTCAAGTTGTAAGGATGAGGAAAATGAAATGTGTTCTGACGAAATGCTTACACTACAGCTGGATTACTGTCATGTATATTTTATTTAATCTTAACTCTATGAGGTAAAATATTGCCATCTGTATCATATAGATAAAAAAGTCTCAGAAATGACTTGACTAAGATCATGCAGTCAGTCTATGAATCTAATATTGCATTCCCAGTTGAGGCTATTTGTAAAATACAGCAATTTTTATTCTTTAAAAATGGGAAATTTGCTAAAATTCTAGTGCTTGTTCAATGTTGTATTTACTTGGTACTAGCTAAAGATCCCTTAAAGTCTTTACACAATTACAGAAAATTATTTTTCATAGAATGAACACTGTTTAAATTACTTTTAGTACTTAGTTATATCTAAACTATTCCAAAAAGGATTCAAGAAAACACTTCTCTTGTCTGACAATCCCATGTTCGGGTTACCTAGTGCTACTCTGACAAGAATATATATCACAAATGGGAGGGCTTGAACAAACAGGAGTTTATTCTCTTACAGTTCGGGAGGCTAGAAGTCCAACTTCAAAGTGCCAGGCTCTAGGGGCTGTGTGAAAGTCCCTTGACCTTGGGCTTCAGCTCTGCCTCTTGCTCCCGGCCACTGAAGCTAGAGGCATCTCTTCACTCAGGCAGCTACTGGCTGCTGAAGCTAACAAGCCCAAGGCCGGCAAATGAAATGGTACAGTCCTGATGTTACCAAAACACACAATAGGCCACTGATTCAAGTCCACTGAAAGTCCCAGGATTGGCAGAGCATGGTAGGCTGCTGAACAATGACTTGGCTACATGCAGGGTTCAACTGTGCCATCAGCTAGAGACCATTCCAAAGCTGTTTCTTAAATACCGGAAGCAGACCACATACCCAAAGGCAGCTCTCAGCTGCTCACAGTAGATTCCACCATGGAGTTGATTACCAGTCTCATTATTGGGAATACTCATCCAGCTGCCCAGCCACTCAGCCAGGCCCAACCAAGTTGACATACAACTTTGACTACCACAATTCCACCCCTTGTCAACTTGGCACCTGTATGGATCTTCAATGGGTGGCTTCTGTATAGATCTCCTTCACTGCGTGGCTCCTGTCTCCTAGTTCCCAAGTGGTAACCTCACCTCCTTGGCCTGGTGGGCCCTGTTCCTCTCCTCTTGGGCATGGTAGCCCCGCCTCCTCACTCTTGGGCAGCGGCTATAACTCCATCCCACTAGCTCACATGAACGAGCAGCCCCACACTCCAGAACCAAGTTAGTGAAGGTCTGGCTTTTTGAAACATAGGGGGCTGTGGTGGTTCCATCCCCCAAATCCATGGTCCTACCCTTGAGGCTGCAGCAGCTCTGCTTGCTGTTCCCTTGGTCTCTCCGCTTATGCGGATTAATGCCGAAGGCAACCCACGCCACAGGAAATCTTCTTGCCCCAAAAGCACTCAGCTTTCTTACACCATGGGCCAGCCAACCTGCTACTCCACTTCATGCCGATCTCTTCTACCAATTAATGCCCAAAGGCAACCCAATCTGCTGGGAAGCCACCTACCCAATAGCATCCAGCTTTCTCCTCCATGGGCTAATAAGGCTGTCACTGTCTCATGCCAGTTCTCTCAGCTGTGCTCCTGCTGTTCCTCATGCCGGTCCTTGGCTCTGCTCTTGCCGTCTCTCATGCCATATGCTGGGGTCTCTCTGTCAGGGTCTTGGGTCAAGGACGTACTCCACTCCTGTTTCCACATTTTAGGTATCTGTCAGAGCAGCACCCCACTCTCTGGGTACCATATTCTGTTCTGGTTACTGAGTGCCACTCTGACAAGAATATATACCACAAATGGGATGGCTTGAACAAACAGGAGTTTTTTCTCTTACAGCTCAGGAGGCTAGAACTCCGAGTTCAAAGTACCAGGCTCTAGGGGCTGTGTGAAAGCCCCTCAACCTTGGGTTTCAGCTGTGCCTCCTGCTCCCGGCCCACTGAAGCTAGATGTATCTCTTCTCTCAGGCAGTTACTGGCTGCTGAGGCTAACAAGCCCAAATAAAATGGCACAATTCTGATGTTATCAAACCACACAGCAGGCCATTGATTCAAGTCCATTGAAAGTCCCAGGATCAGCAGAGCATGGCAGTCTGCTGGAACAGCGACACGGATAAATGCAGGGTTCAAGCATGCCATAAACTAGAGACCATTCCCAAAGCTGTTTCTTATTATACAGGAAGCAGACCACATACTGAAAGGCAGCTACTCAGCTGCTCACAGTAGATCCCACCATGGAACTGATTACCAGTCTCATCATGGGGAATACTACATCCAGCTGCCCAGACACTGAGCCAGACCCAACCAAGTTGACATACAACTTTGACGTACTACTTGGCATTAAACTATTTGCCTGGATGCAAAATCTTTGGAGTGTTCACATTATATTAAAAGAAAACAAAAAACAACTGTACAAACACAATGGTGGTGTTAGGTGAGTCTGAATCTGTTCTGACTCATAGAAACCTGTGTACAACAGAACACGACAGTGCCTAGTCCTGTGCCATCCTCACAATCGTTGCTGTGCTTGAGCCCATAGTTACAGCCACTGTGTCATTCCATCTCATTGAGGGTCTTCCCCTCTTTCACTGACCCCCTACTTTACCCAGCATGATATCCTTCTCCAAGGACTGGTCCCCTCTGACAACAAGACCAAAGTATGAGAGACAATGTCTGGCCATTCTTGCGTCTAAGGAACATTCCAGCTGTACTTCTTCTAAGACAGATTTGTTTGTTCTTCTAGCAGTCCATGGTACATTGAATATTGTTCACCAATACCACAATTCAAATGGATCAATTCTTCTGTGGTCTTCTCTATTAATGATCTAGCTCTCACATGCATATGAAGCTATTAATAATACTATGGCTTGGGTCAGGCGCACCAGTCTTCAAAGTGACATCTTCGCTCTTAAACACTTTAACAAGGTCTTTTACAGCAGATTTCCCCAATGCAATATGCCCTCTGATTTCCTGACTGCTGCTTCCATGGGCATTGACTGTGGATTCAAGTAAAATGAAATCCTTGACAACTTCGATCCGTTTATCACGATGTTGCTTATTGGTCCAGTTGTGAAGATTTCTGTTTTCTGTTGAGGGGTTATCTCCACTGAAGCTGCAGTCTTTGATCTTCAGCAGCAAGAGCACCAAGTCTTCTTCACTTTCAGCAAGGAAGGCTCTGTCATCTGCACATCACAGGTGGTTAATCCAATTCTGATGCCATTCTTCTTCATATAGTCAGTTTCTCACGATTTGCTTAGCATATAGATTGAGTAGTATGGTAAAATGATACAACTCTGACGTGCACCTTTCCTGGTTTTAAACTATGCAGTATCCCCTTGTTCTGTTCGAATGACTGCCTCTTGGTCTATGTACAGGTTCCTCGTGAGTATAATGAAGTGTTCTGGAATTCCCATCCTTTGCAATATATCCATGATTTGATTCACACAATCTAATGCTTCTACATAGTCAATAAAACTCAGGTAAACATCTTTCTGGTATTCTCTGCTTTCAGCCAAGATCCATCTGACATCAGCAGTGGTATCTGTCATCCCATTCCTCTTCTGAACCTACCCTGAATCTCTGGCAGTTCCCTGTTGATGTATTGCTGCAGTAGTTTTGGAATTATCTTCAGCAAAATTTTACTTGGGTGTGGTATTAATGATATTGTTCAGTAATTTCTGCATTATGTTGGATCGCATTTGTTTCAAATGGTAACAAATATAGTTCTCTTCTAGTTGGTTGGCCAGGTAGCTGCCATCCAAATTTCTTGGCATAAACAAGTCAGCTGTATCCATTTGCTGAAATATCTCAACGGATATTCAGTCAATTCCTGGAGCTTGTTTTTCACCAATTCCTTCAGTATAGCTTGGACTTCTTCAACACCATTGGTTCTTGATCATATGCTATTCTCCTGAAATGGTTTAATGTTGACCAATTCTTTTGGGGTACAGTGAGTGACTTCTTTTCATGCTTCTTGCATTGTTTGATATTTTGCCCATAGCATCCTTTAATATCACAACTTGAGGCTTGAACTTTTTCTTCCGTCATTTCAGCTTGAGAAATGCTGAGTGTGTTCTTCCTCTTTGATCTTCCAACTCCAGGTCTTTGCAAAATTCACTGTAATGCTTTGCCTTCTCAAGCTGCCCTTTGAAATCCTGTGTTCAGGTCTTCTACTTCATTGTTTCTTCCATTCACTTTAGCTATTCTGTTCAAAAGCAAGTTTCAGAGTTTTTTCTGACATCCATTTTTTTTTTTTTTAATTTCCTGTCTTTTAAATGACCTTTTGATTTTTTCAGTATGATGTCCCTGCCTTTGTCTCATCTTCAGTCAATGGTATTATTAACTGTATCAAATCAATTCAGATGGTCTCTAAATTCAGGTAGGATATACTCAAGATCATATTTTGGTTCTCATGGACTTGTTTTACTTTCCTGTAGCTTCAAGTTAAAATTGCATATGAGCAATTGCTGGTCTGTTTCACAGTCTGCCTGGCCCTGTTTTGATGATGATACTGAACTTCTCCATTTTCTCTTCCCACAGATATAGTCAATTTGATTCCTATGTATTCCATCTTCAGAGGTTCATGTTTATAGTCACCATTTATGTTGTTTACAAAAGGTATTTGCAATGAATAAGTCATTGGTTGTGCAAAATTCTATCAGGCAATCTCTGGTGTCATTTATATCATCAAGGCCTTATTTTCCAAGTACCGATTTTTCTTCTTTGCTTCCAACTTTCGCATTCCAATCACCAGTAATAATCAATACATCTTGATTGCATGTTTGGTCAATTTCAGACTCCAGAACTTGGTAAAAAATCACCAATTTCTTCATCTTTGGCTTTAGTAGCTGGTGTGTAAATTTGAGTAAAAGTCATATTAACTGGTCTTCCTTGTAGATGTATGGACATTACCCTATCACTGATAGCACTGTACTTCTGGACAGATCTTGAATCGTTCTTTTTGACAATGAATGTGATGTCATTGTTCCCTGTCACTCCTGCTGTAGTAGACCATAAGGCTGTCCAATTCAAAATGGTTAATACCAGTCCATTCAGCTCACTAATGCTTAGGATATATGCACTCCCATTTCATTTTTGGCAACTTCCAATTTTCCTAGATTAATACTCTTTACATTCTATGGTCCGATTATTAATGGTTATTTGTAGCTGTTTCTTCTCATTTTGAGTTATGCCACATCAGTAAATGAAGGTCCCCAAAGCTCTACTCCACTCACATGATTGAAGTCGACTCTTCTTTGAGGAGACAGCTCTTCCCCAGTCACATTTTGAGTGCCTTCCAACCCGAGGGGCTCATCTTCTAGCACCACACCAAACAGTGTTTCCCTGCTATTCATAATGTTTTCAGTGGCCAATTTTTGAGATGTGGACCTGGCCACATCCTTCCTAGTCTTAGTCTAGAAGCTCGACTGAAACCTGTCTACCATGGGAGACCCTGCTGGTATTTCAAATACCAGTGGCACAGTTTCCAGCATCACAGCAATACACAAACCACCACAGATAAGAAATTGACAGAGGGGTGGTACATGAACATAACAGGAAATGTCAATATTCAAAATTAAAAAATTCTATCATGCCAAAATAAATAGTTCCAATTGTTCATGTTTAATACATAATATTGAATAGTTTCATTTCCTCTGATCTTCCAAACACAGTTCAATATTATAGCATGCTTTACAGGAAAGTATTTAAAGTGGGATTTTAAAAATTTATGGTTGCTACGTTACTGGTATTACAACTGGTTAAAGCTTCAAAGTCTAGTAGACTTAACTCCAGTCCTTTGTATTAATTATCCAGGGATAATATTTTTATAGTATGCTCTTATATTGCAACTATCAGACAAACAGATCATCTTTAACGAATATTATTTCATGAACCCTAAATTAATCAAAACACAAATGTTTTAAGAATATAAACTTTTGCAAATAAAATCAGATAAATGAAATCTCTCATTAATTTAATGGTATCCTTTAAGGTTTTTTTTTTTTTTAATACATTCTTTTAGGAACAACTTAATATCAAGAGAAACATGTCCATATTTGCAACTTACCACTGGATCTGTTGGATGAAAAATATTTAATAACCGATTACAGATCTCTCTTGGCAAAATATGGTCTTGACTTCCAGTGTTTCCGGGGCGGATGCCACGCAATGCCAAAAAAACTGCTAGTGGAGATCCCATACAGAAGAAATTCTCAACCTAAAATGATAAAGTAATCCTAAATTACAAAATATGGTTAAGTTTCATTTTTCAAAGAATTTGGGTATACTATATGGTAAATTGGGAGCTCTGGTAGCATAGTGCCTAAGGCACTTGACTGCTAACCAGAAGGCTGGCAGTTCAAACCTACTAGCCACTCCTCAGAAGGAAGGCTGGGCAGTCTACTTCCCTAGTGATACTGCCTTGGAAACCCAAGAAGGGGTTGCTATGAGTCGGGTCCGACTTGACGACACATAACAACATATGGTAGAATACAAATAATAAAATTTTTATTAAATAATGCCAAATAATACCTTTATCCAGATGGCGTATCTAAACTATCTGCTATCTACAGTCATCATTAAATACTCTGGATCAATTTTTTCTAGCAGCAACTTCCTTTCTTTAAATCTAGTAACACCATAAAGAATGAGAAGAGAAAGAAAATAAGATCATTTCATTGTTTGTGCCTGTTTCTATATATAAAGAATCAAAGCTTTATTGAGCTACTATTTTGTGTAAAGTAATATGCTAGGTAGGTGAGAAGAATATAAAGACCAATAAGGCAGAGTCTTTCCAGTAGGGGTGGCAGAATAAAGTAAACATATACTAGAGAGTGAAGAGTGCTATAAGAGAGCAGAGACAGGAATAATTCCAACTCTGTGGGTTTTACAGAAGAGGCAGCACTTGCACTGGAAAAAGACGAAAAGAATTTCCAGTTAGGGCTGAGACACTGGGGCCAAGCAGAGGACATTTCAGATACAAACACATGAGCTAAAACTAAAGCAGAGGCAGAGAATAATGTACCTTAGAGAAAAAAAAAAAAAAAGTCTGATATGGCTGAAAAATTGGGTATGTTGAAAACGCAGTTTGGAATGAGAATGTACAGAATTCTGACTCTTTGACTACGAAGCAGTGAAGGAGAACAGAATTTGACCTATGTTTTAGGATGTTAAGCTTCGTAATGCTGTGGGGATAAATTGGAAAATCGAGAAACTGGTGACGTAGAGACAAAGTGGGAAACTACTGAAAGAGTTTGCTGTTGGTTGCTGTGCAGGTGATTCTGACTCATGGCGGTACCACGGTGCTGAGTAGAACTGCCCCACAGGGTTTGCAAGGCTATGATCTTTGGGAAGCAGACTGCCAGGCCTGTTTTCTGAGGCATCTCTGGGTGGGCTAGTAGTTGAGCACTTAAGTGTCTGCACCACCCAGTGACTCCGCTGAAAGCGTTTAGGCCAGAGATAACCTGAACCAGGGCAGGGTAAGTTGTTCCATTCAAAAATAACAATATGAGAGGGCAGGGTGGAATCAACGTGCTTGAATGGAGGTGGAAATGATGAATGCATCAGAAACAACTCACAAGGTTTGTGTCTAGCTGTATCATTTGTAACAGGAAACTCTAAGTCAATCTTGTTTTTTTCACATTGGATTTTAGGTATCTATAAGTAACTTCTAATATGTAGCTGAAAACTTAGGTCAAAAGATATAGAAGTGCATGTGTCATCATCCAGGTCTGTATGTCACCATCAAAGAAGTGGCATGTAAAACCAAGAGAGTGGGTGAGATTTTCTAAAGTGCAGAGAGTAAGAGGTGGGCTGTAGATTGAACTATGAAGGATGCTTTATTTAAAGAAGAGGTGAAAGATGTGGAGCTACAAATCAAAACCAAAACCAAACAAACCCACTGCCGGTGAGTTGATGCCAACTCACAGCAATCCTATAAGATAGAGTATAACTGCCCAACAGGGTTTTCAACATTGCCTCATATCTGGTGGGTTTGAGCTGCTGACCGCTGATTAGCAGTCAAATGCTTTAACCACCGAGTCACCAGAGCCCTGGAGCTACAAAAGAAAAGAGTGAAAGGAGAAAGAGAACCAGGACAGTACAATATCACAGAAATGAAGGGAGGAGAGGGCTTCAAGAAAAATAGGGTGGTCAACAGCATTCGATTATATACGGACTGCATCATCTCTTTCTCCTAAAAACACCCTACTTCTCACATCCCCAACATCTAACAATAGATTACATTTCAACTCATCATCTCTTGTATGGACTCTATTGTAATAGTGTCCCCATTCTTTAAACACTTTATTTTTCAGAGCAGTATTAACTTTACAGAAAAACTGTGCAAAAAATACAGAGGGTTCCCGTAACAGCACCCCCAACCACTGTTTCTATTATTTTTGCATTTGTGTGGTAAATGTTACAATTGATAAATACTGATATATTATTATTAACTAGACTCCATAGTTTACATTATACTAGATTCACTTATTTTATTGTGTTGTGGGTTTTGGCAAATGCATGCCTATGTGTCTACCATTACAGTATCAAATAAGATGAGTTTCAATGCCCTAAAAATGCCCTCTGCTCCACCTGTTCATTCTCTGCTTCTCTGAGTCCCTTACAGCCACTTATCTTTTCACTGTCTCTGAAGTTTTGCCTTTTCCAGAATGTCATATAGTTGAAATCATGTAGTATGTACCTTTTTGAGACCGGTTTCTTCCACTTAGCAATATGCATTTAAGGTTCTTCCATGTATTTTTGTAGCTTGATCGCTCTATTATTTTTATAGCTGAATGATTCTCCACTGTAATGGATATACTACTTGTTTATTCATTTACGTATTGAAGTACGTCTTGCTTCCAGTTTTTGGAAATTATGAATAAAGCTGCTGTAAACATTTGTGTATAGGTTTTTAATATGTTCTCAACTTATTTGGGTAAATACCTAGGAGCATGATTGCTGGATTGAATTGTAAGCCTATAGTTAGACTTGTAAGAAACTGCCAGAATGTTTTCCAAAGTAGCCATACCATTTTGCATTCCTACCAGCAGTAAATGAGAGTTCCTGTTGCTCCACAACCTCACCAGCATTTGGTGGTGTCCATGTTTTAGACTTTACCTGTTCTGATCAGTGTGTAGTCCTACATCCTATTTTATATACCTTTAATCCCTTCCTCACAATGTATCCAGAGTGATTTTTCCTTTTTCCAAAATGAATACATGTTCTTGATTTTTCCATTTTGAGACAGTCCCTTTATGTTACAAAGGAAATTTTTTTTGGGGGGGCTAAGGATTGGATGACTTCAACATGCTTGAAGACTGAAAACAACTATGCTAAAAAAATTAAAAATATAAGTAAAAGCATTTGAAATAATAGGTAAGTGCAGAGATGAAAGCACAGATCGATACACATGTATGTGTAAGAACACACATTCTCTCTCTTTCTACCTGCCTAGTTTGAATAGAAATACATGCACACAGACACAAAGGGGAAGGCCCTCAACAAGATGATAAATACATATACATACACACACACACACACACACACAAAGGGGAAGGCCCTCAACAAGATGATAAATACATATATATACACACACACACACACACACAAAGGGGAAGGCCCTCAACAAGATGATAAATACATATATATATACACACACACACACACACACACAAAGGGGAAGGCCCTCAACAAGATGATAAATACATATACATACACACACACACACACACACACACACAAAGGGGAAGGCCCTCAACAAGATGCATAAATACATATACACACACACACACACACAAAGGGGAAGGCCCTCAACAAGATGATAAATACATATACATATATACACACACACACAAAGGGGAAGGCCCTCAACAAGATGCATAAATACATATACACACACACACACACACACAAAGGGGGAGACCCTCAACAAGAAGCACTGACATGGTGGTTGTACCCATGGGCTCAAGCATAGCAACAACTGTGAGGACAGCGCAGGACTGGGCAGCGTTTTGTTCTGTTGTACACAGGGTCACTGTGAGTCGAAGTGGACTGGATGGCAACTAACAACAACAACATATATACGTGTATTTATCCAGCATTTCTACTTTACTCCATTTAGCAATATTCAATTTTACTGAGATCGAGTATAAATGTCATTTCTTTGTTAACCTTTCCAGGCCAAAATTAAAACTTCCTTCTCTTGTGCATATATTCTACAAACTGAAAATAGTACCAATAGCACTGTGTTAAAGTAACATACACAGTTATATCCTGAGGGCTGAGCACTGTCTTATTTATTCTTAGTAGAATTCAGAAACTAGTTGTGTCCAACATATAGCATATGTTCAATAAATACTAACTTGAAAGAATAATTAAGCTTTCATTTGAATCCTAATGGTGCATTTAGTACGACGTTTAAAAAAAAAAAAATACTGAGACAAATAATGAAAATCTTATCACTCTCTTCTTACCTTAAATCTTAAGGCAGGTGTTTGTGTCATAGATGATGCCTTCAATCCATGCAGTCGTTCTTCTATCTCCCTCAGCCTAGGAAGTGGCATGAGATTGCACACATACATATACTTACAATTTCACAAACATTAGATGATGACTAGTTCACGAAAGTATAAGGAAAACAATGACTCATTATTCTATCTCTCAGATCAGTAATCTTCATTGATAAGGATCCCAAAAGAAGCTCTTAGCAGGTATTCTGAGGATTAGAGGTACTTTTATAATTGTTTTATAAATTTTAGAGACTTCCTATGCTACAGTGGGTACACTGATTGCACACTATCAATCTTCATTGACAGTACTTAATAAATAAATTGATAATAAATGTATCAATCTTCATTGATAGTATTTAATATCAATGTACCTGCTGTAGCACAGGAAGTCTCTAAAATTTATAAAACAATCATTAAAAGTACCTCTAACCCTCAGAACACCTGCTAACAGCTTCTTTTGGGATCCTTTAGTGAAATGTGAGACACATACAAGCATGAATATATACACACACATACACACACACACACATCTTTTAAAAAATGACACCAAATGGTTAATACCAAACACACTATTATTCTATGACTTACTTCAATCATTTTAACAGCTATGTTAACTGTCATATGGATGAATCATAATTTATTAACTCTAATTGCTGATGAACACTTCGGTTGTTTCAATTTTTTTCCCATTACATTTTTTCTTATCTATTTACATTAAGGGAGAACTGGTGGTGAAGTGGTTAAAAAAATTAGGCTGCCAACCAAGAGGTCTGCCATTCAAACCCACCAGCTAGTCTGTGGAGAAATATGAGGCAGTCTGCTTCCTAAAGATTTACAGCCTTGGAAACCCTGTAAGGGTACTTCTACTCTGTCCTATGTTGTTGTTGTTGTTGTTATGTTCCATCGAGTCAGCCCTGACTCATAGCGACCCCTCCTTGGGTTTCCGAGGCAGTATCTCTACGGAAGTAGGACTGCCCAACCTTCCTTCCAAGGAGTGGCTGGTGGGTTTGAACCGCCAGCCGTCTGGTTAGCAGGCAAGTGTCTTAGCCACTATGCTACCAGAGCTCCCATAGGGTTGCAATGAATTTGAGTTATTTACATTAAACAAACAATGGAATTAATTAAAAAAATAAGTACAGGTCATTTTCTAAATCTTTTTTTTTTTAATTTACTGGATCTTGTATGTCTAAAATGCTGCTGAGGCTTGCCAAACATGACAATTTCTTTTAAAACTATCAGTTATTTTCACACCGTAAGATTTATTTAACTAGCTGATGGAACTTAACAAGATTCTAAATGAAATCCTTAGACAACTTTCGTAAGACTAAAACAAAACTAAGACAAGCTGAAAGTAAAAAAAATTTAGTGAATTTAACTGGCTATTTTTATATAATGCCAAAACTAGCAAAATCTGTGACTCTTCACTGTGTTATCAGAATTGATAAGATGAAGTTGGGTCACTGATAGGACAAGGAAGACAGGGCATGTAACTCTAGATGAAGATAGGAATGCAGCAAAGAATGAAAAGAATACCAGTAAGTCCCCACAGGACCAAATAATTATAAAATCTACCAAATGTAAAAAGGGTTTTAAAATAATTTTTATAATAATAAGAAAGGCAGAGATCCAAATCTAAAGATTAGTAAAACTACAAAAAGGAGGATGACAAAATAATTTATTTTATGCTCTAAGAAAACTGCGTGTAATTAGCATGAAAATTAACAAATACTTTCTGGATTAACTGGGCATGTTACCTATTGTATCCTGAACAATATACATTTTTCTTGATCATAAAAATCTTAAGTTTCCCCCTTAGTAGTCTATTAAAAATATTTTTCATTCTTTTAAGAGAGTAGGATTTCCTACCGTTGTTTTGTTATATAGAGTTCATCAAGAAGATGTCGTTTTTCATAGCTCATCCACTGTTCATCAAGCAATTCTTCTTCCTTCTGCAGCAACTGTTCATAGAGCCGAACTGGATTCCAGCCAGTCATTATATCGTAAGTGATTACACAACCCAAAGAATGTGACACTATTGAAACTTTACCCCCTTTTTCTTCAAAGTCTGGATTCCGAGAACAGAAAAGGGAGTATAATCGATTCAATTCTTGCTGAAGGCCTTTAACTAGCTGTTTGAAACAGGAAAACATTGTATTAGAGTTATCACTGACTGCTACAAACTATTTCTAAATTCAAATACATTAAGAAAGAAAATGTACATTATTGGCCAATATGCCAAAACAAGGTTATATACCTAAGACAGAAAAGGCCTATGTGAGGCTAAAATATTTTACCATGAAATAGAATATTCAATGGACAGCTTCTGAAGAGTTGATGATTTCATCTGTTTTGATAATTATATACTTGAATAGAACTGGTCTTTTTATTTCCTTATTAAATCTCTGGTAGCGTAGTACCTAAGGCACTTGACTGCTGACCAGAAGACTGGTGGTTCAAACCCACCAGCCACTCCTCGGAAGGAAGGTTGGGCAATCTACTGCAGTGATACCACCTCAGAAACCCAAGGAGGTGTCGCTACGAGTTGGGTCCAACTTGATGGCACGTAACAACAAGAATAACATTAGATTTCAATGTGGTTATATTTTCTATCTTTGCCCATTGCTTATATGTACAGGAACATTTGTGGTCAAGACAAAACATTATGATTTGAAAAGCAAACTTTTTAAATGGCCTTGCACCATCTCTCAATGGTTCTATAAACACCCATTCAACAACAGAAGGAGAGCGTCACCTCTATGTTGTAACAAAAAAGTCTACTCTAATTGCAGCTCCCCCTTTTTCTTTTCTAATCCAATTATACTTTCCTAGTTAGGTTCCATTTGTGACCAAATATATTCATTTGGGACATAAAAGCCAAGATTAATGTGATTTTAGTTTTATTAGGTCTACAATATTATCTAATCAAGCCAGCTAACACCTCTTTCACAATAGATCGCTTTTCAAAATAATTTCTAATTCCACACCACTACTCAAAAGTTAAAATTTATGAAGACAATCAACTCAAGGGGAAGATAACAATATTTTCAAGAATGAATCCAACACAAAAAAGTATACTTGAGGAATAGAATTAGTCCTTTGTCCTTCTCCCCATATCCAGATTTTTGGTGTCCATATGTGCTTACCAAACTAATGAAGGAATCAGTATAGTAAGAAACCATTTAAGTTTTTTTAATATGAAGTAAATTAATCACTGGTAGAAGTATATATTCTTTTCTTACTTTTTTAAAAAAAATTTAATTTGGGGAGTTTGTCTTAAAAATGAACAGATTAAGTGCCTTTTGCCAGAATACTTACATATATACCTTTTTGTGGTTCTAGATTTATATAGTGTGGATCTTAAAATCAAAGCCTTTAAAAGGTAAAACTGTTAAGAAGTATTGCTTTTAAAGTTCACTTTACCTAAGTATTAGCTTTGTCTTTGCTGCCCCTAATGTAGACATACACAAAATGCACAATTCTTTTTAAGTTTCTCATGTTACTAAAGTAATGGCCAAATCACCACTTGTCTGTTAGTTGGTCCTACTGTGGTGGCCTGCATGTTGCTGTGATGCTGGAGGCTATGCCACTGTTATTTCAAATATCAGCAGGGTCACCCATGATGGACAGGTTTCAGTGGACCTTCCAGACTAAGACACACTGGGAAGAAGGACTTGGCAATCTAATATAAAAAAAACTGGCCAATGAAAACCTTAGGGATAGCAGTGGAACATCATCTGACATAGTGCTGGAAGGTGAGCCCCTTAGGTTGGAAGGTACTCAAAATACTACTGGGGCTAGAGTTGCCTCCTCAAAGAGTGCACTTACTAATGTGGATGAAGTAAAGCTTTTTACTGATTTTGCTGATGTTGCAGGACTCAAATTGAGAAGAAACAGCTGCAAACACCCACTAATAATTGGAATATGGAATGTACAAAGTATCAATCAAGGAAAACTGGAAGTTGTCCAAATGAAATGGAACTCATGAAGACAGATAACCTAGATAAAATAGATTGATATTAGCCCTTTTAAATCAGATAATCATATGGTCTACTACGCCAGGAATGAAAACTGAAGAGGAATGGTGTAAAATTTGACTGCTAACCAGAAGGCTGGTGGTTCAAACCCACCAGCCACTCTGTGGAAGGAAGACTGAGCAATCTATTTCCATAAAGATTTACCACCTTAGAAACCCAATGGGGGTTGCTATGAGTCAGAATCAACTCAAGACTGCTGCAACCATGCCAAAGATGAAGAAATTGAAGATTTTCTACCAGCTCCTGCAGTATGAAATTGATCAAACATGCAATCAGGATGCATCCATAATTACTGGTGATTGGAATGCAAAAGTTGCAAACAAAGAAGGATCAATAGTAGGAAAATATGGCCTTGGTGACAGAAATGACATAGGAGATGACATGACAGAATTTTGCAAGACCAACAACTTATTCAGTGCAAATACCTTTTTTCAACAACATAAACTTAGACTTCACTGGACAGAATATACAGGAATCAAACTGACCTCATCTGTGGAAAGACACAATGGAGAAGTTCAATATTGTTAGTCAGAACAAGGCCAGGAGCTGACTGTGGAACAGACCATTAACTGCTCATGTACAAGTTTAAGCTGAAGCTAAAGACAATTAAAAAAAGACCATGAGAGCCAAATATGACCTTGAGTATATGCCACCTGAAATTAGAGACCATCTCAAGAACGGATGCTGTGTGGTGCGCTTCAGACCAGGAAGTGAGAGAAGCAGTTTGGAACAACTAAGGGAGACAAACTTGTCCATCAGTTTGTCCTACTGTGGTAGCTAGCATGTTGCTGTGAGGCTGAAGGCTATGCCACTGGTGTTTCAAATGTCAGCAGGGTAAGCCATGGTGGACAGGTTTCAGTGGAGCTTCCAGACTAAGACAGAACTGAAGAAGGAAAAAGCCATCTATTTCTCAAAGAATTGGCCAGTGAAAACCTTATGAATAGCAGTGAAACACTGTATGATATATAACTGGAAAACTTTACTAATAGCTCTGTAACACTGTCCAATATAGTGCCAGAAGATGAGTACCTCATGTCAGAGGGCACTCAAGATATGACTGGGGAAGAGCCACCTCCTCAGAGTAGAGCTGACCTTAATGAAGTAGATAGAGTATAGCTTTTGAGACCTCCATTTGCTGATGTGGCACAACTCAAAATGAGAAGGAACAGCTGCAAATATCTATTAATAATTGGAACACAGAACGTATGAAGTATGAATCTAGGAAAATGGGAATTGGTCAAAAGTGAAATGGAATGCATAAAGATTGATATCCTAGGCATCAGTGAGCTGAAATGGACTGGTTTTGGCCATTTTGAATCAGAACACCATATGATCTACTATGCCAGGAATGACAAACTGAAGAGGAATGGCATGGCGGTCACCGTCACAAAGAAGACTTCAAGATCTATCCTGAAGTGGAGCGAGTAGCTGGACCTGTGGGCTCGGGACCATAGTCACAGGGACATCAAGCTCAACTGGCATAACATACTACACAAAACATTGTTTCACATCCTACTTTGGCGAGTAGCGACTGGGATCTTGAAAACTTGCAAGTGGCCATCTAGATGCAACGATGGGTCTCTCCTCATCCACAGCAAAGAAGAATGAAGAAAACCCAAGATGCACGGAAACAATTAATCCAAGTGACTAGTACACCAGGTGATCCTCAGCCTATATGACTACAAGACCAGAAGAACTAGATAGTGCCTAGCACCACTATCAACCACTTGAAGGGGGATCTATGCAGGAGATCCTGGACAGAGTGGGAGAATAATGCGGAACAAAACTCAAAATCATTAAAAAAAAAAAAGGGACCAGGTTTGCTGGTCTGATAGAGATTGATGGAACCACTGACTATGGCCCCTAGCTGCCCTTCAGGTCTGGAACTGAACCCCTTCCTGTGGCTTCTAGCCAAACAAAAGATAGGCATTGAGTTGAGCATTTACACTGGGTAGATACAATCCTTGGAGAGATTGGTCATGGGATAATGGAAGGGCTGTGTATGCACAGGAAGACAGCTCAGGGGGCAGGAGTGCATGGGACAAAAGGACACAGGGAAGAGGTAACTAAGGGGAGGAAGTGGGAGGGCAGCTGTTGCATTGTGGGAAATTGCAATCAATGTCATGAGACAAAAGTGTATGTGAGTGAGCTGCTGTATGGAAAGTGAATTTGCTCTGCAAACTTTCACCCAAACCACAATTAAAAAAAAAAAGAAATAAGGAAAAAAGATCTATCCTGAAGTAGAATCTTGTCAGTGATAGGGTAATATCCATATGCCTATGTGATAGTTGGAACTGTATGTCAACTTGGCTGGACCACAATTCTGTGTGGTTTAAGCAACTGTGATGTGGGTTGTTCCAATGATGGGATCAAATGTATATGTTCTGAGCAGCCAATACGTTGAAAGGGAGTTTCCCTAGGGGTGTGGCCTGCTTCCAGTATATTTATGGACATCCTGGGAAAAGAGACACTCTTCTGTGGATC